TGACTTATTCCGAGTTCAGTGACGATTAGTGAGCCAATATTTTGACGAAAAAATGTTACTTTTTTTTTTTTTCAACAAGTCGGCCGTCTCCCACCGAGGCAGGGTGACCCAAAAAAGAAAGAAAATCCCCAAAAAGAAAATACTTTCATCATCATTCAACACTTTCACCACACTCACACATTATCACTGCTTTTGCAGAGGTGCTCAGAATACAACAGCTTAAAAGCATATACGTATAAAGATACACAACATATCCCTCCAAACTGCCAATATCCCAAACCCCTCCTTTAAAGTGCAGGCATTGTACTTCCCATTTCCAGGACTCAAGTCCGACTTTATGAAAATAACCGGTTTCCCTGAATCCCTTCACTAAATATTACCCTGCTCACACTCCAACAGATCGTCAGGTCCCAGGTATCATTCGTCTCCATTCACTCCTATCTAACACGCTCATGCACGCTTGCTGGAAGTCCAAGCCCCTAGCCCACAAAACCTCCTTACCCCCCTCTTCCAACCCTTTCGAGGACGACCCCTACCCCTCCTTCCTCCCCTATAGATTTATATGCTTTCCATGTCATTCTACTTTGATCCATTCTCTCTAAATGACCAAACCACCTCAACAACCCCTCTTCTGCCCTCTGACTAATGCTTTTATTAACTCCACACCTTTTTGCTAATTTCCACACTCCGAATTTTCTGCATAATATTTACACCACACACATGCCCTTAGACAGGACAATCTCCACTGCCTCCAACCGTCTCCTCGCTGCTGCATTTACCACCCAAGCTTCACATCCATATAAGAGTGTTGGTACTACTATACTTTCATACATTCCCTTCTTTGCCTCCATAGATAACGTTTTTTGACTCCACATATACCTCAACGCACCACTCACCTTTTTTCCCTCATCAATTCTATGATTAACCTCATCCTTCATAAATCCATCTGCCGACGTCAACTCCCAAGTATCTGAAAACATTCACTTCTTCCATACTCCTCCCCAATTTGATATCCAATTTTTTCTTCATCTAAATCATTTGATACCCTCATCACCTACTCTTTTCTATGTTCACTTTCAACTTTCTACCTTTAAAACACATTCTCAAACTCATCCACTAACCTTTGCAATTTTTCTTTAGAATCTCCCATAAGCACAGTATCATCAGCAAAAAGTAACTGTGTCAATTCCCATTTTGAATTTGATTCCCCATAATTTAATCCCACCCCTCTCCCGAACACCCTAGCATTTACTTCTTTTACAACCCCATCTATAAATATATTAAACAACCATGGTGACATTACACATCCCTGTCTAAGACCTACTTTTAACCGGGAAGTATTCCCCTCTCTTCTACACACCCTAACCTGAGCCTCACTATCCTCATAAAAGCTCTTTACAGCATTTAGTAACTTACCACCTATTCCATATACTTGCAACATCTGCCACATTGCTCCTCTATCCACTCTATCATATGCCTTTTCTAAATCCATAAATGCAATAAAACTTCCCTACCTTTATCTAAATACTGTTCACATATATGCTTCAATGTAAACACTTGATCTACACATCCCCTACCCACTCTGAAGCCTCCCTGCTCATCCGCAATCCTACATCCTGTCTTACCTCTAAATCTTTCAATTATAACCCTAACCGTATACTTTTCCTGTATACTCAGTAAACTTATTCCTCTATAATTTTTACAATCTCTTCTGTCCCCTTTCCCTTATATAAAGGGACTATACATGCTCTCCACCAATCCTAGGTTACCTTCCCCTCTTTCATAATTTATAAACAAAAGTACCAACCACTCCAACACTATATCCCCCCCCCCCCCCCCCCCCCCGCTTTTAACATTTCTGTCATGATCCCATCAGTTCCAGCTGCTTTAAAACCCCCTTTCATTCTACGTAATGCCTCACGTACCTCCACCACACTTACATTCTGCTCTTCTTCACTCCTAAAAGATGGTATACCTCCCTGGCCAGTGCATGATATTACCGTCCTCCCTTTCTTCCTCAACATTAAAAGTTCCTCAAAATATTCTCGCCATCTATCTAATACCTCCCTCTCCCCATCTACTAACTCCCCTACTCTGTTTTTAACTGAGAAATCCATACTTTCCCTAGGCTTTCTTAACTTGTTTAACTCACTCCAAAATTTTTTTTTATTTCATTAAAATTTCTTGACAGTGCCTCTCCCACTCTTTCATCTGCTCTCCTTTTGCACTCTCTCACCACTCTCTTCACCTTTCTTTTACTCTCCATATACCTGCTCTTCTTATAACACTTCTGCTTTGTAAAAACCTCTCGTAGCTACCTTTTTCTCTTTTATCACACCCTTTAACTTCATCATCCACCAATCACTCCTCTTTCCTCCTGTCCCCCACCCTCCTATAACCACAAACTTCTGCCCCACATTCTAATACTGCATTTTTAAAAATATTCCAACCCTCTTCAACCCCCCCACTACTCATCTTTGCACTAGCCCACCTTTCTGCCAATAGTCGCTTATATCTCGCCCGAACTTCCTCCTCCCTCAGTTTATACACTTTCACCTCCCTCTTACTTGTTGTTGCCACCTTCCTCTTTTCCCATCTACCTCTTACTCTAACTGTAGCTACAACTAAATAATGATCCGATATATCAGTTGCCCCTCTATAAACATGTACATGTCCTAATATTACCTATTCCGATGACGACGTAATCCGGGGGTCCATTGTACTCGTTTACTGACAACTCGAACTTACGATGGGCTCTGACCGCATGCAATGTCTAAATAATGTATATTAGAGTTGATTTCCTCTATTCTGTTTATTACAATATACAGTACACTAATGTATAAACATTTAAAAATATACTAAAAATGTTATAAATGGTACAAGGGTGACATTAAAACACTATACAAATAACCCACACATAGAAGAGAGGAGCTTACAATGATGTTTTGGTCCATCTTGGACCATTTACATAGTCACATGAACGAAAAGAAGAGGGAGTATATATAGACCAGCAGACATGGATGGGACAAGAGAGTTGGTGGTGGTGGTAGTAGTAGTAGTCGTAGTAGTCGTAGTCATAGTAGTCGTAGTAGTAGTAGTCGTAGTAGTAGTAGTCATAGTAGTCGTAGAAGTAGTAGTCGTAGTCGTAGAAGTAGTCGTAGAAGTAGTCGTAGAAATAGTCATAGAAGTAGTCGTAGTAGTAGTCGTAGTAGCAGTCGTAGTAGTAATCGTAGTAGTCGTCGTAGTTGGCAGCGTCAGTCAAATACTAAGAAAGAGGAGCACTACAAGGGAGCTAGGGGCCCACAGAGGGTAGGAGCAAGAACACAGAAGGGGGAAAAATAATGAAGGAACAAATACCAAGGCAGAAGAAAGAAAACCCAAAGGAGAAAGAGGAAAGAGGAAGAGGGGAGAAGAAGCAACAGGAATCAGGTTAGGTCACAGGTTGACATATGGTCGACATAAACCCACTACCATTACAGTATGCTCCTCGTTTAGAGAGAAATTCGTTTATCGACACTGTATTAGGAAAGGAGCTCTGTCATTAAGTGATGAGAGGCTGTGTATGTTTCTATATATATATCTAACCCCTTCTCCTGTTTTTCTTTTTGGGCCACCCTGCTTGGGCGGGATACAGCCAGTGAGTTAAAAGACAGAAAAGAACATATCTCTGTCTCTCTCCCTACTCTATTTAGTACATATTTAAGACTAAGGCATTCTCAGTAATTTACTGGCTCTTTGCAGACCATAAATGATCTCTGTATCTGTTCCAGCTCTGATATTTCTCCTGCTCTAAATGGGGCTGTCAACACTGAGCAATAGTCCAAATGAGGAAGCAACAGCAATTTGAAAAGTGTCACCACTGGCATTATTTCCCTTGTTTTGAAAGTTCTCATTACCCACCCCATCATCCTCCTGGCTGTCATGACCTTTGTCTTATTTTGTTCTTTGAAAGGAAAGTCAGCCAACATAATTATTCCCGAGTCTTTCACATGTTCTTATTGTTCTATTTGATGATGATCTTGGGTTCTGTATACAATGTTCCTTTTGAGTTCCTCATTCTTTCCACACCTAAGCAGTTAGAACTTATCAAGAGTGAATGTCATGTTGTTCTCCACTGCCCACTGGAAAGCACTGCTTGTATCTTCCTGTAATTTTTCATGCTTATTTTAGTGTCATCTGCAAATGATAATACAATATTGTGACGGGTGTTTATATCTACGTCTGCTATGAGGATGAGAAACAGCAAAGGTGCCAGCACAGTGCCTTGGTGAACTGAGCTTTTTAAAAACCTCACGGATACTGGAAGACAACACAAACAATACCTGCAGAGGAGAATCCAGCATAGGGAAAGGCAAGTGCAAAGATAAGTGAGAGTATCAGCTAAGCATGGTCTATGCAGCAAAGACCTGAAAATGTCCCCCGGGTGGAAAAATCTGCTGGACCCAAAATCAGGAAATATGGCCTGTTCAGCTATTGTGGGTATGGAGGACTTCGTCATGTGATATAGACAAAGCAAATCTTGGATGTAAAGCTCAGTATTTAAGTTAGTGTTGTTTCAATTATCCTCAGAAGGTACATCTTATATCTATATCTCATAATGATAAAGACCGAGCTATGTATTTGCCAGTAGTCATTCCCCATATCAGAGATAATCTCAAAGCACAGAAACCCTGTTGGGAGGCATCACACCAGATGACTGGTAGTTAAGAAATGCAGCCCTGAAGCTGGAGTCTGAGACTCTTAAATAAAAAGTAGGCAAATGCTAAAAACTTTAATGCTGAATGTTCTGAAAAAGTCAAATTAATAAACTAGCAAAAATTCTATTGCAAAGAAGCATCTGGCATTGCACTTTGTTAAATATATGTTGCATTAAAATGTTTTAATGGTCCAGTGCTCCAATAGGTCTCCTAAAAAAGCTTTAATTTTTGTCATCTGGTCACAGAGTATTAATTAAATGTATCTACTGTAACATATTAAACACAACATTTTAATTGACTTACCTCTGGAAGGTGGATGATTCATAAGAATGGCCAATGGACATTCATCATCATCAAGGATATATTCTTTTTGGGGGGATGTGGGCCCTCCATAACCATCATCATTTCCTATGACATTCTGGTAATAAGAATAAAGTGAGCATCATCTACTAAACAGTTGTCTGTCAGTGCATAATTACAAATTATATACAGTCTGTGAAACTTAAAAGTAATAAGCTATGTTAATATGTTAGACCAATATGCAAGATTTCAACAACAAATTTGCAAATCATCTTCACTACACATGGTCTTCCTCTTTTATATCTTTCTTCTAAGTGGAACTTAAAATGTATTTTCATGTTTTCTCCAAATACATTCATGTAACATGCATACACTACCTTCATACACGTACACACCATCATCATATACACACACACACTTTCCAGAATTCACTTGCTATGTAATCCACAAGATTCAGTTATGCAACATTTTCACTGAAGCCTATTTCCCAGACAGGATCAATTATTCACATTTTTATTTTTTGTTTTTGCTGTGCCCATTATCACTTTGCCTGGTACACTGCCCCTAAATTTAAAATTAACCAGATTTTATTTAAAAATACACACAATGGATTTTTCACACCCAAATCTGTTTACTGTCCAGTAAAACAGTTGTTTCTTATGATTCCAAATATTAAACAAGTTAGAGCAATAATTAATAATGCAGCACATTATATGGCCTAAAAACATAAGATTTTTCTCAAGAATTACTTGTTTTTTTTTTCAACAAACTGGCTGTATCCCACCAAGGCAGGGTACAGTGGAACCTCGGCACTTGAACTTAATTGGTTCCAGAAGGCTGTTCGAGTGCCAATCTGTTCGAGTACTGAACAAATTTTTCCCAACCAATTTTCTTTTTGGTTGGCTGTTACCACTAACCTTCTTAGGCCCCATGGTGACTTATCTACACAAATAATATAAAAAAAAGCACAAAAAAATGCGAAGAAACACGAAACAGTTTATAGCGAAGTTCTGGCAGGTAGTGTTTGTTTGGTCGAGTGCTGAGCAAAGGGTTGACTACAGAGTGATTTGTTTACCAAACAGTGTTCGAATACCGAATTGTTCAAGTACCGAGGTTCCACTGTAATTTATACAAGAGAAGGGGTTTCTAGTCCCTTGCTTCCTTAAATTACTTAAATACACACACAAAATATACAAAGGTTAAAGTTTCAATGTTTGAGACATGTGAAATTTTGTATTATCCATGACTTCAACATTCACAAAGTCTCTAGAAACCTAACCCATGCAAATTTCAGGTTTCAACTGTACTGTATAACCCAATGACTAACCAGTTTTATAACCCCATTTCCAAATTTTCTGAAATTTTATCTTTCTATTGCTCAAAACTCAATATTAATTTTACAGATTATTTCTTTCAGTTCAAGAAAACTGAAATTTCATAAAGCTGTGACTTAACATTGAAGGAGAAATTGTCCAGATCTAGAGATAAGTATTATGTTATGTAAATGATACATTATGTCATTCTACAGAACCAAACATAGATTTACCCTTAATTTAAGTTATTTCACATATGTAGTGACCCATTTCTACCAATAATTTGTTTGAAGCCATATAAAGTTGCTCTCAGGTAATTGCCCAGGCAAAATTGTTTTTTAAGTCATTCTTTCATTATCATACTAAACTACTTTATACTGATATTCATAAGAAAGAATATGAAAGAAAACTGATTTTGGCATGAGAACTCCCACGAGAATATTTAGCAAGAAATCCTTGGTTGGTTTTCAATGTGTCTACTGCACTTCAGCATCAAAACTCCATCCTTACCTGCACAAGACAATAATTATTGGGATCCTCTTTATAAAGGCCATATTTATCTAACATTTCTCCCACCACACTGAGAGCATTATCTCGAATAGACAATAGTAGTGTCTTGTAAGGCACATCAGGACGGAGAGATTCACCATAAATCTGAAAACAGATAAAAAAAAAGTATACATTACAATCATTAAAATAATAATTCTTTAATTTTTAATTACTGTAAGTTTAATATATTCCTCCTCAAGCTTAGAAGTCAATAAAGAATCTGTAATAGGAAGCTGGCAACAAGTACTTCAGTACAGTACGATACATAGCATTTTTTTTTAATTAATGTAACGACTCTTACCTGTGCAGTGTACAGCATTTTTGTGTATATCTTCATATCATGCATAACTTATTTAATTAACAACCCTATTATCAATATTATTATTATTTCTGGGAAGCACTAAATCGGTAGGAGCCATACAGTGCCTGGAGAATTGGCAATAGGAAGCAATTGTGGAGGGTAACCACAATTCTTTGGATCAAGAGCTCTTCACTGTTGTCAAGACACCTTCCCTTGAAGAAACTGACAACCCAAACAATAAGGTTTTCTTCCTCAAAGAGTTTCTGAAAATTACTGACTGATTTTCATTAATTTCAGTCGAGTTACTTACTTTAAATGGAGTTGTCCTCCCTTTCCCTGGATCAAACCTGATAACCCACCATTTCCCAAGTGCTGTATGACCCCTATAGGTTTACTGCTAATGATTACTGTTGCTGCTATGGTGAAATAATAATGGATGATGATGATGACAACAATGGTGATGACACTTACTTACCTTCAGAGTGCCACCTGTATCAGGTCCACCATCTTTACTTTGGAATTGCTTACCTTCAGAGTGCCACCTGTATCAGGTCCACCATCTTTACTTCGGAACTGCTGTAGTTTTTTCTCCAGTTTCTGAGCTCTTCTTCGTCTCATCACCGCCTCAGGGTTACTGATGCTGCGCGTGAAACTTGTTTCTGGTAATTCTGTGAAGAGGTTTCAATAAATTCTTTAACTTAAAGCATTTATTGAAATAAGATTTACATTTTTTGCAAAAGATTAAATTTACTCTCTTACATTCACTTTAATGCTTATATTTCAAGCTAATTTAATTCAGAGCAACCCACACTGAACAAATTTGATAGCTTGAATCCTAGTCATTTTTCAAGATGTCCAACTTATGTGACACACATGATTATCTACAGCTTAAAATTTGGAAAACTACAATGAGACAAGTGGAATAGTTACTGCACTAAAGAGTAAGAAACCTATGTTATTTAATGGTCTACTATACTTGCTGAAATTCTTAAAAGTAAATAGAGAGAGAAACTTTAAAACAAATCGCTTGACCAAGAAAAGGCTGTGGGCCCAGACAAGTTGAGCCCAAGATTGCTGAGAAGATGTGCAGACCAGCTAGCAGCACCTCTAACTCGCATCTTTCAGCACTGCCTAGTACAGTGTAAATGGCCCTCTCTATGGAAAGAGGCAAATGTAGTCCCTGTTCACAAAAAGAAGAGCATAGCAGAAATCAGCAACTACAGACCAGTGTCACTCCTGTCAATCACTGGTAAGATTCTTGAGACAATAATCTCAAGATAAATGACAGAGTTTTTTGACTACCACTCACTACTTTGTGATCATCAATATGGCTTCAGGAAAGGTTACTCTGCTGCTGATCTGTTGTTAAACCTCTCCACTAAGTGGCACCAGTCACTGGATGAATCCAAAGTCAGCTGTGCGGTAGCACTGGACATTGCTGGCGCTTTCGACTGGGTGTGGCACCAGGGCCTCTTAGCAAAACTTCAAGCACTGGGAATTGCAGGCTCTACGCTATGTTTCCTCAGTGATTACCTTCATGGTAGATCTCTAAGTGTAGTTCTCAATGGAATGGAATCAGCAAGACATCCTATTGGGGCAAGTGTTCCACAAGGAAGCGTGCTGGGACCATTGTTATGGAATGTCTACTTCAACGACTTTCTTCATCTCATCCCAGAATCACATGCATATGCAGACGACTGTACACTGACATTCACTTATCCAAGAGAAGAAATGCCAGCTGCTCTAAGCTACATCAATCACCAGCTGAGAGCTATATCAGCTTGGGGAAATAGATGGCAAGTAACATTTGCACCTGAGAAAACGCAAATGATGATCATCTCTAGGCACCATGATGGTAATGCTGGTGCAGTAGTAAGGATGAATGGGAGGGTGTTGGCACCTGGAGAAGTTGATATCCTTGGGGTGAAATTTGACTCCAAACTAACCATGAAGAACCATGTTGTAAATCTTGCAAACAAGGCAGCCAGGAAGCTTACAGCACTTCGCCGTATCTCGCATCTGCTTGACAGTAGGGGTTGCAAGATTCTGTACGAGGCACAAGTATGCTCACACCTTGAGTATGCTCCACTTTCTTGGTTTGCCTGCCCCCCCTCTCATCTGCGACTGCTTGACAGAGTAGAGAACAGAGCAAGACGTCTCATCTCTCGCCTGGACCCATCCTGCATAGATCTGTCATTTCAGCAGAACCTTCATCATAGGAGGGATGTGGGTGGCCTTACTGTTATGTATAAGGCCAATATTGTCAAAGTACCACACTTGGATGCTCTTCGACGACAGCGTGAAACAAGCTTTTATGCCACATGACGGGCAGAAAGCAGCAACTTCACTCTGGCTGTACCCTTCTCCAGAACATCACTCCATCTGAGATCATATATACCCAGGATGACTCGAGTATGGAACACATTCGTACAGCATAATGATGTCAACAAGATAGTCAGTTGATCAAATGAAAATGCTGGCCCACAGATGGCTCCAATTTCATCCTGTTCCCTACTTGTATGTCTCATAACAATAAAAATGCTTTCAAATGAGCTGATGTAGGTAACAGCTCTTAGCTTGCCAATAAAGTTAGGAATCCTTAACCTGTAAATAGCTTGTCAATAAAGCTAGGGATCCTTAACCTTGTCAAACCCTGTGTAAAAAAAAATGCCAGGTAAAACCCCTATTTGACAAAGACAGACACATAAGCCACAGTAATCCTTCATCCTTTGCATACACTATGCAGACAAATTGACAGAAGTGTTTAGCATGGTACTGTATGCTTCACCACATATTTATGACTAGCTAAAATAAAAACTCTGAAAAATACATTAAGCATTACATTGTAATACCAACAAGTAATACAAACCCGTATATAATTTTTCTGCCACCGAGGAGTCTGCCTCATTTGCTTCATTTGCTCGTCGCAGCTTTTCTTGTTTTTTAAGTTCTTTTTTCTCCCGTTTAGATAATTTACGCTGGAATGGCTGGTCTTTGGTTGGTATGGGTGTGGTAGGGTGAGGGGGTAGTGTGTTGACTAATGTAGAAGAACCACCCTGCCAAAGAAGGAATTTTAAGGCTTTATAGCTTACCATGCATTAAGAGGGACAAACACAGCTCTGTTTTACAAATTATGACAGGATGTTTATGCCTTCTTGTAGCAGGTAAAGAATTCTATGAAACTATATTAATTTCATAGTAAAACTGCATACACATGTAGTACATAATACAGCATATATACCTATCAGTAACCAGTTAAATAAGATAAAATAATGATATGATCCATGTAAATTTTAGATAGCTGTACCTCATATGACATTCCAAAATTGTATAGGTCCATTCGGCGGAGAAGAAACCTGCCCTCCCGATCATCTTTGTTCCAGTTCAACTGAACCAAAAGTGGCTTTTCATCCTCTGCAAGTCGACGCTCTTCTGTAAAAAAAAAATGCATTTGAAATTGAAAATTTAGAAAATAACTAAACTAGTGGTTAAGAATCCACTGGCTTACTAGTGTTATATACCCATGTTTAAGCTTAATAACTGGAATATAATACTGGCATACCAGTATTATATTCCAGTTAAGCATCAACTAGCATAGTTGAGCTGTTTTCCAAACACGTTTGGAATGACGAAGTTACACATTCCTGTCTCAGGATTGAACAAGGCTATCACGACTCTAGAACACAGCTGAGGATGATAAGCAAACAGTGTCTTCTTTGGGATAAAGAGCACAGGCCTAAAGAAGAGAGATTTGGTTATGTTTATGAGTATAGGTGACACCCACAATACTGGATATGACAATAATGATAATTTACGATGCTATGATGATAGCTTATGATTATATGATGACTCATGCCATGACAATGATGACTTGTTATGCCATGATAATAACTTATGCCATGATAATAACTTATGCCATAACAATAACTCGATGCCATGTGTGGAGAAAATTCTCCAGTAAAGGGGGTATTTCTCAGCCCTCTAAGGGACTTAGCCCTCCTGCGAGGGGCTAGTGGACTCTTCCTTCCTTGCAAGCAGCTTTATTAAAACCACCTATATGTGCCGTAGTGTCACGAGGCATACCTTCCTCTCCTTGCCAGTGTCCTTGATCAACTACACGAGGTTAAACGTGAGTGATTACTCTTTTCTCCATAGGAAAATTAAGGGAAAATCTGCAGCCCACTTTATCTACAAGTTGGGACTATTAGGAATTCTAGTCTATAGCTAGATAACAAGAAACCTACCCTCTTGTACTGAATACTGTTGCAATGTGTAGTAAGGAAGAGACAAAACAGAGGGTGACTGCGGGTGCTTGGGCAGGACAACAAGCTAGGTTGAATTCAGACATCAGAGCGTGAACACACGTCACATATCTCCCACTGAGAACAAAGAAAATACTGACTGTGCGGTAAACTCTGAAATACTGACAATCTCCACTAGAAAAACTAGTGTTAAAAAGAAACGAGTGTATCATCCGCGGTATTATCCTGATAAGTGTAAAGTGTGTATCGCGGTATGCATTCAGGTGTTATGTCCTCACTCCCTATCAATGAGTGAGGAAATAACTACGCATCTGTAGCAGCCGCCTACTCAAGACATCAATACCAGGGTCATACTTCCCCTACCACAAACTAGGGGAAATTGGGTCAGTTACAATACCCGGGTCAGTTACAATACCCAGGTAAGTCCAGGCATACCCACACCTAATTACGTTAGCTGCAGCTATTAGGCAGGGGTAAGATTTGACTGGAATTACCAATAGATCCCGTTACATGTTGGTGGTTCACCCGAACTCAAGTATCACTACGCATTTCAGATGGTAGTGAAATGCTGGATATACACTCCTTTGGGGCAAATTGTGTTCTAATAAAATTGTTAAACAACCACTGTAGAATCTGGAACGGCACCCGGAAGGGATGTCCAGCTAGAGGCTGCTGGATATGGTGCTGTTTTAACAGATAAGTACGGATTGCTCTGTTTGTTTCATGCAGGAAAGTGTACTTATCTAACTGGGTCTCCACACCACTTACTATGCCATGATAAAAATGTACTATGACGTGATATTAATTATTAATAACTTACTAAGTCATGATAATAACTGACATCATAATTTGAAATAACTTACAAAGTGGACAAATTCAAGACACTTTTCTAACACTATTTCAAAACTATTACTTAAATTAAAAATCATAAAAACACCTGTCACTCAACTTGGGGAACAGAACCTTTACATCAGCTGTAAACTTTGTTGAATTTTCTAATGAATACATTACACAATGAGTGTGCACTGAGGTACACTGCATATACACCCGGAGGGGTGTACATCTCGGTACAGTGTGTATATATTTATATCTCGGTACAGTATGTATATATTTATATCCCGGTACAGTATGTATATATTTATATCTCGGTACAGTATGTATATATTTATATCTCGGTACAGTATGTATATATTTATATCTCGGTACAGTATGTATATATTTATATCTCGGTACAGTATGTATATATTTATATCTCGGTACAGTATGTATATATTTATATCTCGTACAGTATGTATATATTTATATCGTACAGTATATATATTTATATATATAGTAATATAACGGTATATATATATATATATATATATATATATATTATATATATATATATATATTATATATATATATATATATATATATATTATATTATATCGTACAGTATATAATATATATATATATATATATATATATAATATATTATAATATATATATATATATATATATATATATATTTATATATGTATATATATATATATATATATATATATATATATATATATATATATATACTGTATATATATATATATATATATATATAATATATATATATATATATATATATATATATAAATATACAGTATGTTTATATTTATATCTCGGTACAGTATGTATATATTTATATCTCGGTACAGTATGTATATATTTATATCTCGGTACAGTATGTATATATTTATATCTCGGTACAGTATATATATATTTATATCGGTACAGTATGTATATATTTATATCGGTACAGTATGTATATATTTATATCTCGGTACAGTATGTATATATTTATATCTCGGTACAGTATGTATATATTTATATCTCGGTACAGTATGTATATATTTATATCGGTACAGTATGTATATATTTATATCGGTACAGTATGTATATATATATATAATATATATATATATATATATATATATATATATATATATATATATATATATAATATATCGGTACAGTATATATATATATATATATATATATATATATATATATATATATATATATATATATAATATATACAGTATGTTTATATTTATATCTCGGTACAGTATGTATATATTTATATCTCGGTACAGTATGTATATATTTATATCTCGGTACAGTATGTATATATTTATATCTCGGTACAGTATATATATATTTATATCGGTACAGTATGTATATATTTATATCTCGGTACAGTATGTATATATTTATATCTCGGTACAGTATGTATATATTTATATCGGTACAGTATGTATATGTTTATATCTCGGTACAGTATGTATATATTTATCTCAGTACAGTATGCATATACTAAGTATTTTAATTCTTATATTAAAGACCAAAGTACCATGACTGGTGGTATACAAGTAACAGAGCCTTAACGACTGACCCCTTGTGTAGCCGATAGGTTTTAAGCGTGATAAACAAACAAACGGATTAAGGTAATACTAGCGGGAACAATAAGACGGAGCCGCAAACCTGGTTGAGTCAGCAACGCCGCCAGGCAAGGCAAACCTCATGTGAGAACATTCCCCCCCCCCCCCCCCACACACAATATAAACTTGCCCCGTCCCGACTTCCTCTCAGGTAGCCTGGAATATTTCTTATCAATTTCTCGAAGTATGAAGACGAAAAAAACTATTAACGGGAGATGTTACTACCCTTTATGTAGTTGCTATAGCAACTCAATGGTAATATAACTATTTTGTACGATGAAAACAATATTAAAAAAAAAACTTTTTAATTTACATTTTCAATGCATGTAGAATTTTCCAAATTAAGCAAACATATTACAATAAACTGGCAATTTAAAAACGGTAATACGACTATCTTAATAACGTTACCACCTCTCAAACACTAAATCTGATTGACTAACATGCATTGTACCATTCGTGAGCGGATCATTCAGATACGAAGATGCATATCTTGCATGGTTGACCAGTTGAATCCAACTATTTTTCACATCTAAAGGCTGACAAGTTTATTTCTATTATTAAGTAAACCAGAAATCTGAGATATGAGCTTTAACCCTTAAACTGTCCAAACAGATATATGTTCACATGCGTAGTGCTCCAAAAGTACATCTACTTTTTTTTTTACATATTTTCAAATATAACAAAAAACAAGTAGATCAAAGTTTTTTTTACATGTTTTCAAATGTAAAAAATAAAAAGAAGCTCAACTTTTTTTACATACTTTCAAATGTTGAAAAAACGTAGATCTACGTTTGGACAGTTTAAGGGTTAAATATATTTACTACAAACGGAGATAAACGTTAATGCAAAGTATCTTGTAGGACATGAAGAATGAGTAGAAGATTGCAACTTCAGCAAGGTATATATTTAATTATAAACACATTTAGGTAATCATTATTACCCTGGACCTTCAAACTTATAAATAACTATGTAATTTGAGCTGGTGAAGGCATGTTTTGCATTACTTGACTGGTGAATGATGGAGGAAACTATACACTAAATGGGAGACGGAGCTACGTGGGATCCAGACAGAAGCCCCTCACTGAAAACGAACACCGAATGATAATCAGTGATTGATTTTCGCATGACTATCACACTTAAAATTCTCAACTCCTCCGCTGCTGCAATTCTAACTAGAAAATAGTCCATGCATCATCGAAGCTTATATGTGATGCCTGGATGCTGAGTAAGATGCATGGAACTCGTCTCCATACCTCCTGTCCTCTGCCTTCCCTACATTTCCGGTCTTTCTAATCTCAACAACTCTCTCCGTTCCTTAGACATCAAACTTACTTTTCGCCAGACTAACACTCTTCGCACTAATCTAGTTTATACCTCTCCTCCCTCTATAGATGCTCCTGGCGTCTACTCTATTTCTTGTTCCTTCTGTCCTCTGCAGTACTTTGGAGAAACTGGCCGATCTCTTTCTGACAGTGAGGCAATGGTATGGTGATACCGACAATATGTGGAAAAGACACTTATGTACAGTTCAGGACATTTATTAAATGAAACATTTCGCCATGAGTGGCTTCTTCAGTCCTAATAAGACTGAAGAAGCCACTCGTGGCGAAACGTTTCCTTTAATAAATGTCCTGAACTATACATAAGTGTTTTTCCACATCTTTCTGACAGACTTAGGGAGAGCTTAAACACACATGCAGTTTAATGTGATCCTTTATTGACAACGTTTCGCCCACACAGTGGGCTTTTTCAAGTCACAAACAGTTGTCAATAAAGGATCACATTAAACTGCATATGTGGAAATATAAACACATATGCAGTATAATGTGATCCTTTATTGACTACATTTCGCCCACACAGTGGGCTTTTTCAAGTCACAAACAGATCTACCTGGGGTGGAAGGGACACGAGTATTTATAGTCAGGTTCAGAATGCTGAGGTCAGGTGGAGAATGCTGCATCTGATGATGTACCAAGATTTTAGACTATAACCCCACTCGGTACATCATCAGATGCAGCATTCTCCACCTGACCTCAGCATTCTGAACCTGACTATAAATACTCGCGTCCCTTCCACCCCAGGTAGATCTGTTTGTCAATAAAGGATCACATTATACTGCATGTGTGTTTATATTTCCATTGTGTCGGTATTGTATCCCATTTATTTCCAAACTGCATATGTGTTTATGTTTCCATTGTGTCGGTATTTTATACCATTTATTTTCAGACTTAGGGAGCACAAAAGTAGTGTTAGGCTTGCCGACGCCAACACTGCTCTTTTCTGTCATGTCAGAGATCACAGTCATCCTACTGACTGGTCTTCTGCTAAAACTGTCTACCCTACTTCCAACTTTCACAGTCGCCGTCTGGTTGAATCTCCTTTATACACAACTTTCCTTGTATGAATCTTAATCTTGGCTTTGTCTCTGTAGATGCCTTCCTTTCCCATTACATTGTAAAATGCTCCAAACTTTAGAACACCCGTGACTTAACCTGATTCTTTCTTTCCTCTTCTCCCTCTTCCTCTTTCCTCTTTCTCCTTTGGGTTTTCTCTCTTCTGCCTTGGGTATCTGTCATTTATTATATTTTTTTCCCCTCTGTGTTCTTGCTCCTACCCTCTGTGGGCTCCTAGCTCCCTTGCAGTGCTCCTCTTTCTTAGTATTTGAATGACTCAACTACTGCCACTTCCACTATCTGCTGGCCTATGTATATTCCCTCCTCTCCTTTTCGTCAGTGTGACTTTGTAATGGTCCAAATCGGACCGAAACGTCGTCTTAAGCTCCTCTCTTCTATGTGCGGGTTATTTGTGTTGTTCCAGTCACGGTATTGTGCCTTTTATTGTTTTTTTTTTTTGTTACTTATGCGCATTATACGTGTAGACGTGATCGTTGTCTGGGCTTTCACAAATATTGAACTGCCGTGTCGCTGCAGTTTTTTTTCTCTTGTTCTCAATTGTGTGTGCTTAAACAGAAGTATGTTAGTGGATTATGGAACCTACCATATCTTACGTACTTATACCGTTCGTCGATTCCGGGGGTCATTCCCCAGCGGCCCAGCCAGGCCATTATGAAAAAAATGAGGAAATATAAATTAGAATGCAGTATATAAAAAAAAACTCAGTAGAGAGGAAGATTAAGGGGAGGAACCTATAAGGAGTGATAATGTCAGACGATGATCTACATTCACTAATCACAACAGCGCTACTATCACAAGGGCAAGGAAATTTATTGGAAAACCAGAACCTGCAGAACGAGATAATCCAAGCAAATGGTAATATTTTTAATTCACTTGTTTCTTTAGGTATTTTACGGCCCAATTTAAAACCCTTTATCGGGCAGGGAAAATTGTTCCTCAGTATGTTCACTGCCTGTATAAATTATGTCAAACTATCTAAATTACTGGGAAAGCCTCATGTCCCTTAAACTGTACTTCCTGGAACATATGCGAGAAAGATGAATCATACTTACCTTTGATGGGTTTCCTGATATTTGCTGCTCCCAAAGCCTTTGACTAGGTTTCTCTGGTGCTTACCTGATAACCAAGATGATGTTGGCGGCCCGCTGGCCCACATATCTATCACAGCCAGGTTGGTGTGGCACCTGGAAAATTCTGGAGGAACTGGCCCCAAATCTGCACGCCGAAATCACTTCTTGTGAAAGTATGAGGCTTAACAGACGTTGCAAAATACCCCAGTGGAAATTATAATTATTATAATTATGGGTGAGCGCTAAAGCGGTAGGGATTATACATCGCCTGTGGGGGATTAGGGATGGAAGGTGTTCAGGCTCAATTCAGGGAACTGGATTGTGCACAGATCCGATTCCCTAGATCAAGAGCCCCTCACCAGCGTCAAGGAACCTCCCTTCAGGGGCCCCTAGTGAAAAGTATGGTTGCATTACTAAGATAGCTCAATAAGTGTAAAGGGACCAAGACTTTTTAATACCCTCTCTCACACGTAAGGAGATTTACCAACAAACCCCATACCTTTGAAATGCCTTTGAAGAGTTTCGAGAGTTTCACAACTCTCGGAGCCCGGCCATGGGCCAGGCTCGTCTGGTGCTTGCCTGGTCAACCAGGCCTGTTTTCATAAGGAAACTTGTAAAGTTCAAGGTAGAGTTCTATCAGCGGGCTGTCGTGCGTGTTGGACTGTGTGTGGCCGATTAATCATCCTGAATGATCATGCCATCAACCTGGAGACCTGGTCTGGGACCGGACCAGGGAAACTAACCCCCGTAATTTTCTAGGTAAACCACAGGAAAACCCCCATTCTCGTGTCTCGTAGTGTACCAAGGGAGGAAATGCAAAGAACTCACCTCCGTTTTCGTGTATCTCGTAGAGTGCGTACTCGGGAATGGAGAGCATACGCATATCGGGCCTGAACTTCTCGACAAGCGTTTCAATGACGTATCTGGAGTTGGCAGTGCTGGGCACACGGATGCACTTGGTTGCCACTTTCTGACCAGAGTCTTGGAAGTAGAAGCGCATCACTCCGTGAAACTCCAGATCCTGACAAAAAAAATATTTACATTATTCAACTATCTAACTATATTAAAAGAAAATAAAGGGTCCTAAATAAAATATACACCACCAGAGACGGTGTTATTTGGTATTCAAATATAAATTATACATGAAATTACAAATTATTAAATTAACTAGACATGACTAAAAGCATTAGGGCAGTAAATAAAGGCAACTTAGGTCTCCCACCCCAGCATGCAACCTCTCCTTACATTATACACATGAGCGTATTGTTTCCCATGAAGTAAATGTGTCTGCATCCCCGTTGCCAGATGTTACCCTCCCGGTAATCAAATTGATTTATTGTTCATTAATTATAAGTAAATTGAAGATGATACAGGTAAGGAACCTAAACTAAATTTAATAGTGTTTAAATTAATTGTTTTCTTGGAAATTACTGACTGCTGAGATTGTGTGGTGGATTAGGAGCGAGTGAGGGGGGGGGATGGGGAGCAGCTTACAACCACCTTCAAACTTATATGGTTTCATCCCCGGTGTTTACATTCTTCACTGCTCCATCCCATGACATGGAAGTACCTGTAAGCCTGCAAGATACCAGATACCTGCTGGAGTTGAAGAGGTATGAACGACAACGTCGGGAGGGGGGACAACCAGTGACATCATTCCGTAAGATTATATATATATATATATATATATATATATATATATATATATATATATATATATATATATATATATATTATAAAACGCTGTTATTTACGGATTACCTGGAGAGGGTTTCGGGGGTCAACGCCCCCGCGGCCCGGCTTGTGACTAGGCCTCATGGTGAATCAGGGCCTCATCAACCAGGCTGTTGCTGTTGGCCGCACGCAACTCGACATATGAACCACAGCCTGGCTGGTCAGGTACTGACTTTAGGTGTCTGTCCAGCGCCTTCTTGAAGACAGCCAGGGGTCTATTGGTAATTCCCCTTATGTAGTCGATTCTTGAGTCACCGCCCCTGCTGTCCAGTCACATACCGGGTTTCCTAGACAGCCATCAAGTGGCCGTTGGTGCTAAGAGCATGTAGTCTAAAGTAGGCACCACGTCTCATTTGCATAATTTGTGGACAAAAATTTGCATAATTTGTGGGGAAAAAACAGTCGTCATAAATATTACGTGATGTCATTTGGCGAACACAAAAAAAAAAAACTTAGTTTTTCACCGACACGTTTATTTCTGATATGGTAAAGATAAAATTGCATTTATTGTATTTATGACAGCAGCAATTACATAGTTAATGGCAATCCGACTTAGGTGCACTTAAGAACATAAGAAAGAAGGAACACTGCAACAGGCCTACTGACCCATGCGGAGCAGGTCCATGTCCCCCCCCCGGATTAGACCAATGACCCACCCCCCCGGATTATCCCAATGACCCACCCAGTCTGGTCATCCCCACTCAAGGATGGAGCACTGTACCAGGCCCAGCAGCACCCAGCAGGTCCAACTCACACCCACCCACACCCACTCATGTATTTATCTAACCTATTTTTAAAACTACACAACGTTTTAGCCTCAATAACTGTACTCGGGAGCTTGTTCCACTCATCCACAACTCTATTATCAAACCAGTGCTTTCCTATATCCTTCCTGAATCTGAATTTTTCCAGCTTGAAACCACTGCTGCGAGTCCTGTCTTGGCTGGAAATTTTCAGCACACTATTTACATCCCCTTTATTTATTCCTGTTTTCCATTTATACACCTCGATCATATCCCCCCTAATTCTACGCCTTTCGAGAGAGTGCAGATTCAGGGCCTTCAGTCTATCCTCATAGGGAAGATTTCTGATGCATGGGATCGTCTTTGTCATCCTCCTTTGTACGTTTTCCAGAGCATTTATATCCATTCTGTAATACGGTGACCAGAACTGAGCAGCATAGTCTAAATGAGGCCTAACCAAGGATATATAGAGTTGAAGAACAACCTGAGGACTTCTATTATTTATATTTCTAGATATGAAGCCAAGAATTCTGTTAGCTTTATTGCGAACACTAATGCACTGTTGTCTTGGTTTTAGGTTACTGCTAACCAGAACTCCTAAATCCTTTTCGCAATCGGTAGTATTAAGATCTACATTATTTAGTTTATATGTGGCATGGTTATTTAACTGTCCAACATTTAGAACTTTGCATTTGTCAATATTAAACTGCATCTGCCACTTCTCCGACCATTGCGTCAGTCTAATCAAATCATCCTGGAGTGCTCTAATGTCCTCATTAGAATGAATTGGACGGCCTATTTTGGTGTCATCAGCAAATTTGCTTATGTCGCTATTTATTCCCTCATCTATGTCGTTTATGTAAATTGTGAACAACAACGGGCCCAACACTGCAGCATGAAGAACATAATTAATATCAGTAATCGTATTTCATCAGCTCACTGCAGACTTTTGCAAATTTAGAGTCATCCAGTGGTTTTCTTACTTTGTGTTGGTGCATATTTCTGGCGTGAAAACCTTGAGCTGAGCTTCTCTACTCTTAGTCTAAATCCCTGCCCCGTAGACCAATTACTATGTTGTTGAAAAACTGGTACACATAAGTACAATTATACCTACGATAACCCAATGGGAGAGGGAGGGGATGGGGTCTGCAAAAACCAGGCATTTTTTTTCACTGTGAAAGTGGATTATATTGATACCAATGCCAAGAAATCATCCCTTTTCTGTGACAGAACGGGGTGTCGCTGTTAGCTACAGTACCACTGGTAAAAAGTCGCTCCTGCTGATTACAGGAGCAAACCTTGCCATCGGTCTCCAAATGTACACGCATGGAGCGGGCTGACTTTTCTAGCTGGAAAACACCATTGTGTGAAGTTCTAAAAACCTTGACTTTCAGGTTGCTTGGCTAGTACTCTGCCCGTGACTAGAGCGTGAATTTTCCTAACAGACTGGTAGAGGAAGAATGACTCTTGCTCAGTAAATCTTGACTACGTCGACTTTGCTTTGGAACTCTCGAGTTGTGAGATGCTGAGATTATCCGCAAAACCATCCATCCATATCTTCCAAGGTTGGCTCATACAGATCGACATCGATGTTCAACTAGTCTTAACTCCACAGTTAGTTTCTTATATTAACGTAGATTTGTCTGCAAAGCTGTTTAGATTAAATTAACGTGAATTAACGACATTTAATCCGTTATAACAAACGTTAACACCAAAGTAAAAGTATAACTGGAAAACGAATAAAAACAGAATCGTCGATAATTGTGAAGTAAATATATCGCAAAACATTTCTTGTTTTCATTCTTCCATCCTCGTGTATTCCTGAAGCCATAAATTACCAATTTGTCCATGTGTTATCAAATGCAATCTTTGCAAGTTCATATGAAGGTGTCCAGAATTATAAATTTTATTATTCACGCAAGATCAGGTTTCCCCCTCATTAACGAGTTGTTCATTATCTCTACTTTTCACTTGGCGCTGCCCGAATGGCTAGTTTGTAAACCCCACGCTTATCCTGCGATTATTATACTAAAGGGAAGCACTTAACCCAATGTAGTCATGACACTTGGGGAATAGGAAGCAATTAGGTTCAATGATAGGAGGGGAAATACAAGTCCAAGTCCTTAAATCAAGAGCCTCCACTTCGCCAGAGTCAAGGAACTTGCCCTGAAGGGCTTAGCCTGTAGCCTGCATTCATAAAGCGACACTTGCTAGTCTCTACCTGGTGATGGCTTCAGGAATCGTAGCCCCCGCGGTCCGTTCATACTGTTTCTTTGGATCTTGCAGCCAGAAACGTGCAACACGATTCGGCTAGTCTGCAATGCCAGACTAGGCGGTTGTTTTCACAACATTCGTGTAATCACAACGCTTGTGAAAGTTCTGGAGTATTGCGAGTGCTGTTCCTCCATAAACTAGTAACATTCCGATATAAGTCGTAAACAACAGGTGTATGAGGAAAATAGTAAGGTACACCCCTATACATACAAACTGAACCTAAGCCAGACACATGGTATTCCCGACACGTTCGTTACTCACATTAACTTGTTCTCTGGCATAATTTTTGCACCCTTAAAGAAATAGTAATATCGGAAAGTAAATGTTTACATTTCAACAAGATGATTATGTTCGTAAGGATGATAGCTCTCTCGCTCTCCTCTTTAGCTATAAAAAAATTTTGCTGTGCAGCTCAAGATTTCTGTTCTTATATGCTCTCAGTATTTAATGCAGCCTAAACAATGTTCATTACATTTTTTAAATGGCAGCTAACTTCACCGCCATAAGTTTCTCATAATAGTTTCTCGCAGTGAACGCCGTGACAACGCTAAGCTTTATGAAGTTCAATCTTCCACCGCCTGTTTCTACATACCATGCACATTATCTTATCCACTACCTGACACAGTAAAGAGCCTATATAACCTATCTCTTACATACACCTCCATCCCCTTTACCTCAATACTGCAGCTCGCTAGATGCCTTACTTTTTGTCACTGTTTAATACAAAGCAATGACGCAATACAAACATAATTACTTCCTCGCATTTTCAGTGTCACTTATGTTGGCATTATGTATACATTCCTCAACTCTTTACCTCAATTATGCATACATTCTTCAACCCTCACGTATTTGCAATTAGTCATATGCATCATTCTACTTATATGAATACCACATTTTAAGCTTTACAACAGCTCCACCTATGACAGTTTAGCACCAAGAAATAGTTACAATGTGGAAACAAAAGCTAGCTATGTTTTCCCGTTATATTCCATCACATAGGATAGGTTATATATGCGAGGTAATGAAATATGTCAAACTGAGCTGGGAGTTACATGGTGTAAGGGGGGTGTAATATGTAACAAGTACGTCCCCTCCCGCCAAAGGCAGCAAGTGGGGCATGTTGGACCACAGCACAGCCGTCGTGGGTTGTGCAGCTACACGTCATTAGTGGGCAAGTGAGTGCACCGTCACGCTCCTAAGATCCTCCAGGGAGAAAACAACACTCATGCCGCCGCTGCAAACATCCTTATACACATCGCTCGTTTTATAA